CAAGTATAGTCTAACTATCAAATATTCTTACATAAATTACATTCAAAAATTATTCAAAGCAATGTGCATTTGTATTTAATGATAGCACTGAGGAGCTGGTAACTGGTGGTTTGCAGAATCCCCAGCTGTTATTAAAAACATTTGGTCAAGAGAATGACATCCTTTTCAGATTGACTGAGATGTCTGGGATGCAGTCAGAGATATTTTATTGCAATACATTCATGGATCTGCAACTCAGTGGTCAAAAGCTCAGCAATAACAACAGCCAGCCGTACAGTTGTACCATAGAATAGAACAGAACAGAATAGAATAGAATTTATTTATTATGGTCAGGTGACCAGCCCACAAAACATATCCATGGCTAAAACATACAAAATACAGTTAAAAATATACAAACAATTCACAAAACATACCCATGTGGCCAAAATACACAAAATGCAGTTGAAAAGTGTATAGCCAATCTATAAAACACATGGTCAAAACACATAAAATACAATTTAAAAAGTGCACAACAAGCAATCAACCATGAGCAGATTGTAAAAGAATGAAACACAGCACCTCTACAGCTATCCCCCAGGCCATTGTCCCTTCGGTTGGGACCATAACACCTCTCCATGCTAGACAAAAAACCATCCTCATGCCAAAACCAGTCGACCTGTGAGCTCAGGAGACTACAGGGGAGCGCTGTGCCATTGCTGCCGCACAAAATCTTGCTGCAGAGCATGTAATAAGGGAGTCTTGATCAGAAAGAAGTACAGTAGCTTGATGTAAAATTCCTCTGATCTCCCTGCATATCTGAGAATGATGGGGCTCAGGAGGTTGGTGCGTAGATCTCTATAGAAAAGACAATACAGTAAAACATGACCTACAGTTTCCACTTGGTCATCATTACACGGACACAAGCAATCCGAGATAGGTGTATGTTGAAAACAGTTGTATCATGTTCTTCATTCTTTGCTTGTAAATCCTTTTTTTTCTCTACTGGTTTCCAGTTGATATGCAGGCAGAATTCAAAAGCATTGGTAATGGTCTTCTAAAATCCTACAGAAAACTTGGGATCAAATTACCTTTCAACTTAACGAACTCTTTTGCTCATAAGGATCTTCTGATCACACTCTTCTATGCTTCCTAATTGCAACCCCATCAATATCTGAATTATACTTATTTGGAATGTGGCAGAGGGCCTTCTCTGTTATTATGCATAGAGATGTGTGGAACTCCAACCCAAATACACCTTTCTTATACTAGTTCTTTTGCTGTGTAGATATTTTTGTTTTCCACCAAACATTTGGCCAGCTATTCGACTATGAATTTTTTAAAATATTGTGTTAATGCCATAGTCTGAATAGGTATTTCTGCTGCTTTATCCTCCACATTTGCAATGAGTTGTGTTTTATTGTAGTACACATTTATTGTTTGTAAGGTTGCTTGTGGATTTTCATTGGGAAGATGGAGTAAAAAGTATTTGAATTTCAAAATTAAACACACTCAATATGGCACCTAGAGGAATTTCCTAACATTTGAGAGTGACAAGTTGTAAGTGATGGTTCTTAGAAGGCTCCTCAGGATTTCCATCTTTCAGTGGGGTTTCATCCCTTACATTCTATTTCCTGCCCCTTGTCCCTGCCTGACACCAACAGCTTGGTTTTTACGTATTCCAGAGGAAAGGCAGCTTCAAATAATCAGATTGATTCTATTTTCTAGCCCCAGATAATGGTTTCTTCTTCTAGCTTTCTAATCAAGTAAACCAATCAGTTAGTGAAGAGATTTGCAAAACTAAAGTTGTCTCACAATCAACCCAAAGATGAGAGTTTTTCATTTCAGAGTGGCACCATCATTTTTACACAGTGCATGGACACCAGTGGTAATGCCGATTTTGAAAAAGCAGTGATATTGGTACATTTCCCTAAATAATAGTATCAAGGATGCTTATGGTCTTTAATCATTATTTATATCAACATCTGCACATGTTCATAAATGACATTTGGTCTACCCTTTTATGTCCAAGGCCAGTCAGTATAAGATTACCAAGTGAACAACAGAGGTATGAACAATAACACTGTATTATGTAGCTGTTGTTGTTGTTTAGTCGTTTAGTCGTGTCCGACTCTTCGTGACCCCATGGATCAGAGCACGCCAGGCCCTCCTGTCTTCCACTGCCTCCCGGAGTTGGGTCAAAGTCATGTTGGCAGCTTTGATACCACTGTCCAACCATCTTGTCCTCTTTCGTCCCCTTCTCCTCTTGCCTTCACACTTTCCTAACATCAGGGGCTTTTCCAGGGAGTCCTCTTCGCATGAGATGGCCGAAGTATTGGAGCCTCAGCTTCAGGACCTGTCCTTCCAGGGAGCACTCAGGGTTGATTTCCTTCAAAATGGATAGGTTTGTTTTCCTTGCAGTCCAGGGGACTCTCAAGAGCCTCCTCCAGCGTGGTACCAAAAGAAGACAATAACTATAGCACTTCATATTCCCATTATTGTTTGCTGTTTATCAAGGAGATAAAATTTACTAAGTGCTGCACTAGAATAAAAACCATGACAGATTTATAATGTAAAAGATACAACATAAATTGAAAAATATTGGGGAACAAAGAGGAAACCAAGAAAACTCAGACACGAGTACTATAAGAAATTGTAACTCAGGAAAGAGGAAACAGCATTCCACAAGCTGATATGTATTTTGTAATTAGTGATTTTGTAATTCTTTATTCTCAAGAAAGTGGGTCCATTTCATAAAAAAAGTTCCATATGTACCACAATCTTCTAGTCTCTTGTAGCAGTTATCAATAGCTTGAGCCATAACAAGAATCCTTTGCTCAGGAGCCAGACTCTGCTTTTTAGCTATAAACTCACTATGTTTCTTGTAGTCCCTTTTTTTAGGAATAAGGAAAAGGTTGCTCTCAGATGTTTTCCATTCCTTTTATTTCTATGGTTGTTTCTGATTCTTTTTCATTGGCAGCAGCTGAGTACAGGCAGAATGAAGGAGAGGGAAAGCTATCACACATTGCCTCGTTATTATTTTCTGCCAAACCAAAGAAAGAAAGGGCGGAAGAAGGAAAGCAGCTGAGAAAAGGTGAGCAGAGATGAAGCAAGATCTCTTTTCTTAAAAAAAAAAAAAAGACAACGAAAAGACTGCAATATATATATATATGCGGAGTCTCCCTAAAGTCTCCCTAAAGTCCTTACTGGCTTCCAAATAAGGTGCACACTTCACCACATGACTTGTTTTAATGCAGAAGTGCCTGCTTTAAGGCAAAAGGGGCAGAAAACATCACTGTTACCACATTGTCCAGTTTCATTACACAGCAGTGGAAACTGCAGCCTTCTCTGGGTTGGGAGCGGGCAACAAAGCCTCGAGTGGGTTGAGACCTTACAGGTTGTGCACCTGTAACCAACTTCAGTCTCCGTGTTTTGAGATCAGCACCTTTCTCAGCCCTTCCAAGAATGCCAGGGCCTGTCTTTATGACACATATGCTGTAGTCAGTATGCGAAGTGTGTGTTCTGCAGCTGAGCTAAACCTGTTTCCTTCCAGAAAGGCACCCCAGTCCTCAAAAGCCACTACTGCCATATACTTCCTTGAACCAAATACGGATACGCAGTCTGAGAGTTTCTTGCAAAAGCAAGCTCCTCTCCCTTGTACAGAACATCTGTTTAATCTGAAAGTATATTGTCTTCTCAAAACTATTATCTGTTTGGCATCTGTTGCAATGACCTACTCCAATGACAAGTCACACGCATTGTACTTACACACACACACACACACACAGAGAGAGAGAGAGAGAGAGCCATATGTAGAGGACAGATGAGGCTGTTTTTATCAAACAGGGCCAATGCAGGGAGCAAAGATAGTGACGATGTGATCAGTTCACATGCTTTTACACACGCCACTTCAATTTGAGGAAAGAAAAAGAAAGAAACCTATGAAGAGGGCACTTAACCATGTCCAAAAGCAGGACAGATTGTAATAAGGGCGCTTCCACCCCCTGAACATTAAATCCTCTGTGTTACTGTAGCTAACCCACTGCACAATTGCTTTTTCGTTCTGTATACAGTACATTTGCATGGTCATTCTTATGGGGGGGGGAAACCCAAGAAAAATACTTATTCCCAAGGCTAGCCTTTCCTTTAGGGAGAGTGAGGTGGTTACCTCAGGTGGTTCACCATGGATCGTGTGAATAGGGCAGCAGTGGGTATATTTTGTCCGTTCTTTTGGCTGGAGACCAGAGCTGCTTGTTCCATACAGCCCATCCAATGTACCCTGAGGTAGCCTACAGATGGATAGTCTTGGAAGCAAAATGATTCCAGTCCACTCTTCGTCTATGTTATTTTCACAACATTCCTGTGAGGTAAACTGGGCTGATTGAAATCCCCTAACACGGGGGTCCCCAACCCTTGGTCTGCGGCCCAGTACCAAGCTGTGGCCTTGGCAGGACTGGACCACAGAGACAGACCTCCCACCCCCCAGCACATACACCCACCACACATGCATACACATGCATTCATGCCCCTCGCATGTGTGCACGGGTGCCCCCTCACCTGCACACGGTCATCAACACCCCAAATGGTGCATGGTTTGGAAAAGGTTGGGGGCCACTGCCACAGCACCTTTCATGGTTGAGTTAACATTTGAACCTCCGTTTCCCTAGTTTTAGTCCCACCCTCTTAAGTTGGACAATACTATGACTTAAGAGCTTTCTTTAAATATTCAAAGCAATGCACATTACATTCAGTTAGCAATATTTGCACTAACTTTGCAAAGTAGGCCAGTAGAAGGAGTGATGTCACCAAACATGTGCGGCTTATATACCACCCAAGGACACTTCGCATTCTCTCTGGGCGGTTTAGAATTTAATTATGCAGGCTACACATTTCCCCCTCTACCATCTGGGTACTAGACATGGCAGTTTCGTATTTGAATCCTGGAGGGATATGAATACAAAGCTCGGCACCACGGGTGCCCCAGCGGTCCATCCCCACCCCCAGAACCAGCCCGGTCAACTCACCAGGGTCCTTGCAGCATATTCGTCTGACGGTGGCAACATCGCGCCAATTACAGATGTAGTCTCACTGCCCTACCTCTCCCCTCAGCTGACTGCTCAGGCAGTTTAACAACTGAAACATGAGGCTCCACATACAGCATTTCCCAAATTTTCAAGAATGATAGAGTTGGAATTTGGAAGTACCAAGCATGATCATAGCCTGTTGCAATTTGCTTTAACTTCCAGAATCCCTGAGCCTTACATTTATGTTAATGTGTAATTTCACCCTTAGATAATGCCGAAGATCACACAGAAGCCAAGGTGAGACTTGAGCCAACAACCCACCTGACTTACACTCCTTTCTCCTATAACATTAGAATTCTGCATGTTTATACAGGCATGCTATTAACGTATGGCACCTCAAGAAGCTACCGGAAGCTCAGAACCTTAGAAGGGGCCCACTGATGATGACCTTTCGATCCTCAGCTCTGGGCTTGGTTGGCTGTGGAACTGCAGGAAGACATTTGAACCTTCCACAATGCCTCCCCCATAGTACTTGCTCTACTGAATTATGGAAAAATCTATATAGCTACCCATCACAGGCACAATCAGGTAAGTCTGTGGATGAAGGGCCCAGGAAGGAACCCAGCAGGCAGCACATTGTAAACAGCCCATTCATAAGGACAGATAAGAATAACCCATTCCTTCCATGTACAGACATTCTAGCAACAATTCCTTATATTAAAGGTAGTGGGTGTAGGAAAACTCCCAAAGTAGAAGGAGGCCTGCTCTTTAGCATGGGTTTTCAAAATTTGCCAGGCACAGCAGTCTTGACAGACTTCACTAGCAAACACTAGAAACAGGGAGGTTGAAGCAGTAGCAAAAATTAATGGCCAAAATTAAATTTTGCTTAATGTCCCTCCCAAATGAAAAAAAACACCTAAATAAAAATCTATGGCCAACCATTTTGTAGTGGGCATCTTTACAGATCTTTAACTGACCGTGATATCATAGATAAATTTAAACCAGCCAAAAGCTAACTGCAAGGATATATTTTTAGCTGATTTATCTCAAGCTGATTAATGTGAGATATTTTATGTGTTTCTCCTGCTTTTTAATTTCTGTGTCTGATATTCCTGTCCTATTGTAGGTGGAGTATTTTGGTATCTTGTATTTCATATACCACTTAGGTTTATAAAAATATTTTAAATGATCAATAAATAATTAAATTCTAATACATATTTTGCAAAATGTGTGTATGTATCTTCTTAAAAGTTAAAGTTGCACCTAGACCCGGAAACTACATCTCACGGAACCCTTTGGGACTGACTTCTGAATAGACATGTGCAGGATTGCTTTGTGTTGTTCCGTTTTCCTGGTGCTGCTCTGAATGTCAAAAGCATTTGGAGGCAGCACTAAGGGCTGGTTTTACTGAATAATTGGCTAGAATCCAGCTTATACATTTCCCCATACACCCCCATAAGTAAAAGGGCAAGCTAGAGATTTAATTTGCTTTTAAAAAATGAAAGGGGTCCTCCTTCCCAGCCCAGCCCCTTGGCTACATCCCTGGGAGGAGCTTATCCATCTAATAGGTCAAGTTAAAAGAGGGCAATCCACTGTCTGTCACTTTCTCTACACCTACATTTACAAGTTAATAATGGGTTCCCATTAATTATTGATTTTCCCCGATAATACTTGTTAAAGTGGAATTAACGCTATTGTTCCTGAACAAACACTCTGCCCAAACACTGTGTTTAGTGGGCTTGTAATCAGCTTTACCCACTTTTCTTCTAATCTGATTGAAACAGATTTCCTACCCAAATCTTTTTTATTATTTTGTTGATATTAAAAGGTCACATAATTCACGATCCTGCCTTCAACTTTAATTTAAGTTGCTGAGACGGAGTTATCATTATAGGCAGATGAACAGAAAATTACAAATAGCTCATTTTTAATTAAAATGGAATGAGAAGTTTGCAGAGGAGAAGTTGTAACAAAAATAATAATGAAGAATGGCCTGCATCTGATGGAATTTAAATATCTGTGCTTGGTACTCAACTGCTGGATATATTTTAGATAGTTTTCCAAGCTGTATGTTATGTACTGTAGCTGTTCATCATAATGCTTTTTGACCCTCTGCATTTACTCCATCATAATTATCCTTTAATACTCTTATAAATGAACTTTTAGCTTATCTTTCATTAATTCTCAGAACAAGCAAAGCACTATAACGCAACAAACCCATCTAAATAAAGTGGTTTAACCCTTTGGAGAAATGACTTACTGTTCTAAGAGAGGTATGTTTTGAAAAACATAAGCAGTTAACTTTTAAAAGGCTGATTATTCTTAAAAACATCAATAGAATGTTCAAGGGGCAGATTCCCTTTGAATCAAAAGGCAATCTAAGGGTGAAGACTAACATTATATATTTGGAAGACTGGGGAAATCCTCTGGAAGTCCTCATACTGTATTTTATTCAAATATGCTTCTCCTCTTAAGATAAATTTCCCCCTTTTAAAACAAGTAAGTCGAGTTAACAGAACACTTCTGACAATTAGAAAAGGCAAACATGCCACTTGAAGCCTGCTGGGAAGGCAAAACGGATAATTGAGCATTTGATTGGGTTGTCTGTATTTCTGCTATTTCAGGTGTGAACCCAGAAGGAATCTCAGCGTTACCTATAGCGAAGGAACCTCCTGGGAGCCCTGCCTCTTGAACGTCACCAACACTGAGGTGAGGCAACACCCAATAGCAGGAGTAGATATTCAACCATGGGGAGCTCTCCAACATGATCTGAGCCATGAGAGGAGCTACTAGGTGGGAGGCTTAGAGCAGCTCTGGCGCTGTCCAACAGAGGCAGGTATCTGCCTCACCCAGTAATGGATCTGCCTCATGGAGCTTTTCTACTAACAGGTAGATCACTGACAGCTGAAGTGCTTTACACTCGATGGGATGAAAGGCACAGCAGTTAATGGCAGAGAGAGCCATAGGTGACCATTAGAGCCAGGGGCAAAAATAGGCCTTTATAGTCTTTGCAGAGGTTGGGAACTGATTAAGATGTTTTGGCCAAGAAGGCTGATGGATCAGAATGGTTTCCGGACAGGTCTTGGGGAATTTTCCATTGCCTTGGCACACCGTTCTTTCAAAGTCCTGACTGACCTCTGAAATGGGAAATAGCCAGGGCAGTGGAAATGATTTCTCCTAACGGTCCCCTCCCATGGAATGGAGCAAAAGTGGCCCTCTGGGGGCTGCCTGTAATGAAATCTGTGGGACAGAGATTAGAGCCACACTGGCAAAGAACTTGGAGTGGACGAGACCAAACATAGGCTAGGGCTCATTGGAAGGCCTGTTCCATGACAATGGCGGCAGCAAAGTATTTCAAATCTGCCATTGTTGCATCCGCATAGAGTCATCCAACACATGTTTAGAATTGTCAAGGGCCTGTTACAGTGTGGTCTACAAGGAGAGAATGCAGACCACTTGTCAGCCGCTGTGAAAAATTTGCTCAGTATTTTACAGAAAAAAGTACCTGGAACTGCTCTGATTTGGATGCTGTTGTTGATTCAGGTACTGTGATATAACTTTGGCCTCTGATTGTCCTGTGATCCTGGATAACCTTAAGCTTATTTATGGGCAGGATCCTTAGAGAAGTGAAAGCCCTTTTTGGCTCATAAAAGCAGCCGGGTGGGAGTAGGGAATTACTGAGTGGGTAAGGGGGATTGTGAATGATTCTTTAGAACAAGCCAGTGTTCCACCCTGCCAAAAAGAGGCCGTTGTCCAACCTTTATTTTGAAATGACCTCCCAGAATTCCAATATGATAGACAATATTTCATTCCTGGGCAAGATTAGCTAGACCCATTTCAACCTGGCTTCAGGTTTGGCTAATGGATGGAGACTGCTTTGGTCACCTCGGTAGATGACCTCTGCTAGGAACTCGACGGAGAAGTGTGTCCCTGTTGGTTCTGCTGGATCAGCTTTCAATACCATCTGCCATGGTATTCTTCTGGTTCATTTCTGTGGGATGGAATTTAGAGGCACTTATTTTTTTTCCCAGTGGCTCCAGTCCT